ACACCCGCTGCCATTAAATGGCCCAGGCGGGTTCTCAACGATACTGGCTGGTCTTAATCCTCCGTTTAGAAAATGAAAAGCGGACGTGAAATTTATGACGCCATAAATCCTACGAGCACCTTGACAGCGATTTTAGGTGCAGTCAGAGTAGGACAGTTCTCCAGCCGCCAATTATTCCTTCCAAATTGGCCTCATGTTATCCGCCACTCAGCCACGTATTTCGCATACAAACAGCTTGAATGAACAAGTTGCTGGTATTTGTGCTAGTTATAATCAAACCGTCCTGCTTCCTATGAGTTTGAAAAAGCCTAGGTTTTGTGATGGGAGTGTCATAGCAGATTGAACGGTTGGATTAACTGAGCAAGCCAGATGACCAATGGGAGACGTGCGGAAAGGATTTTCGTGTTAGGCATGGATTGATCAACATTCAGATTAATTAATCATCGATTTTTAGGCAAAGGAGGGACCTTAACGCCTCAGAAGGGCCGTTATTTATGGACGTGAAGGTGTAAGTTATGTCGAGGAGTTTTGCCTGCCAAACGTACGGAAATTTTAGCTTTTTTCACATTGCCTTATGAATGCACGTCCGTGAAGTGCTGAGCACAGCAACTTGTATGTGCTGACATGAAAGCGGCGGTACGATAGAAGGTAAGACACGTATTTATCACTATTGTTCATGAATTTTAATATGCCTCTGTCAAATTTGTGAAAGTTCAGACTTAAGCTTGGACAAGCGAATGTGCGTCTGTTGTGTTGGAGCTGCCATTGGAGACGGATGACGCGAATCCATGAATATAAGTATACCGAATGAATTCGATGAGGGTAATCGTGCCGCTTTTGTATAGCCAACTTAGTGCATGGAATCGTCACTTGGGCAAACCGAAAATAACAGTAGGAGTACACGAAGAAGTTGAGTTTATGAGGAAATAATGTTGATATTAGGTTTTGCGTATCAGAGGGAAAATCGATTTGTACGACTTTCCGTGGACCGATCAAAAGGTCGGTCATCCGAGTAGTGTAGAAAGCATTATTGCACGCGGAATAGAAGCGGGATGCGTACACTCCCATTCGATTCATTAATGCAGGCTAATAAGCCGGAGTATTTGGTACGTTTGTCTGCGTGATGAGTATTCTTGCTTTTCAGAAGTAGATGTTGGTTAAGCTCCGCGCTGTGACTGCACCTGATGTGAATGTTGACCACGTACCTACCTGTGCAATAACCTCCATCACGATTTCTGACTCTTGGCGACAGTTAGTCGTTGCTGGTGTGGAAGTGGTGCACCGTACTCGTAACGGTGCTAGGCTCAAAGAGTGGTTCCACGCAACTTGCGAGGCAAGGGATACGGCCCAGCCACTGCGTTATGTACGTCTGGTGTGCATGATTTCCCAATTATGCCGAAATGCTACCGTGCTGTTTGTTGAATGATTTTGGGCCAACTCAGTTAATGAAACGTGGATCCCATCCACATGCCTACCGGTCTTATTCCTTCGGGTTTACACCGGATATATGGTGTGTGGGTAAAACTGTAGGTGGTGCAGCGCAAGCCACTCATGGTCTGTCTGTAGGCCCAATCGTCTTGTGGCTGCCCCGTGGAGGACAGAGTGGCAGGCAAATCCGGATACAGATGCCGCCAATTCCTTCTGTAACTACCCACCCATCACTCTCTAACTCAGCTAGAATAGACGAACTGTCTGTGAAATTAGTATTCGAAGAGAAGTTAGTAGACGATGAGATTGTTAAAAGGATTTGCTTTTCATAACTGAGGTTCCAGAACGTATGCGTTATTTTGCAGTGTATGCGATGTTTACTAAAGCTACTTCCGTAGCTCATAGGTGGCATCTGCACATTTATCACATGATAGCATCTTGGTGGGAGTTAAAGCGGTTAAATTGGTAATTCATTTATAAAAACAGAAATAAAGTAGCTAAAGCAATTGTTGTAGCACCTGTAAAGTGTGCCAAAACTCCAGAAACCAAACAAGCCTGAGCCATGATCAGGAAATAATCTATACTATCCGACCAATTTAAGTACTCTCATTAAAATCGCCTCGTATTTTCGATTTGCAACTAAAGCCAGGCTGTGATTTTAATCCTGCTGTGTCATTTCTCAGCGGGGGACAGGAGATATTCTCTTGAAGCTATACACAATAAAGAAATGAAGCAATAAGTTAGTGCAACTTATATTGGGTTTCCGGAGATGGGTGAAGTCCTTTCGGTGTGCTGTTGATTGTCGTTTAAATAAACAACGCGGGATACTGTGGCAAATTTTTAAAAGTGGTAAAACATGCTATCAACTTCGCTATCTTCAAGTATTGAAAGGTCCTATTTTGCTCCCGGCATTGCATAAATGTAATCCTTTCTCGACGCGCAGTATATCAGATTACCATGGTCATGATTGACAATTGCAATTTGCCCATATCTTTTCGCCTAGAGTGTAAGTATTTTACGGTATATCCCAAATGTCTTGTTTGTCCGCCTGCTCAAAAGCAGCTTATGCACTTGGTCCAAAGAGGTTGCCATCGCCTCTTCTCTTCGATCATCAGAGTAGAGCTCACCAGTCTACTGCCGCTCACCCAAGGCGAGATAAAAAGGATTGAGCGGGTACAGCATATTGTCACAAGCATCATCCCCTAATTTAAAGCTGCTTGCTCATCAACTCTGTTTCGAGCGGAGGGCGTTGAATATCTGGAGCAACCTGCCTGCAGACAAAGTCGAAGCAAAGTCGATGCCGCAGTTTAAGAAACTCCTGGATGAGCATTTTACCGACTTAAATTTTTGAGAATAAGTACCATCACAATGGGTAGATTTGTTTTAAATATTTCAGGTACAGTTACAAAAGGTAACTCAACTCGCTGAATTTTCTCAGTAACCAGGATTCAGAATTTTTGGCATTGATTCCGTTTCACTTATGCTCGTTTAAAGCTTTCACTATTAATATGTATGCGGCTGCATGAGAATGCCCGTAATATAAATAACAGATAAATATCTTAGCACTTGTATTTCGTCCGCATTGATAAATAAATTAGTTTCATACCCAGCGGCGGATGGTTAATTACAGACACCACATGTCTGCTAAATACAGTGAAACTTCCACATGTCTCCAGAAAGAAGCAGCCAGTATTGATGAGTGGTCGCTTTACGTCTCGTGGCATCTTAATCCTCATACACCAACTGATGATTGACTTGTAGGGAAATTTTGGTGGTGACGGATAACTTCATTTCTGGCCTGATTGGTTAACATCTGTCGTTTCTTGAATTCAGATGAGGAACGGAGCAGCATTCAGCTATTTGCCCCGAAGCTTTAGTTAATTTGACTCCCTGCTGTCAACTAATACGCATCAATTCGGTACGCATGCGAATAAGACGCCATACATTTGGATTTTTAACAGGAACAGACATTCCACCGCCGTATCAGAGAATATAGTTTGACTAGTAGTTTGTCCACCTTTCCCATCAGATAAATTAATATTCCGTACTGATATTTTTCCACAACGCTTAATCATTTGCCTGAACTTACAACATGAATACATCCGAGGTATGTTTTCATTCTGGCTTCGCCATGACAAGGAACTTTAGAGCTATGAAAAGCGGAATGGTATTTCACCGTATTCAAACGTCATTCGCCTAGCGAAAACATTAGAACCCTAACCTAGTATTCATTATCTTTAATCTACGAAAATAAACATGTCGGATTCTTCAGGTGCTAACGAGTATTAAGGAAGTCGTAATGATCCTTTAAAATATAGTATCTTATGGGCGTTCGATACACAATAGAACTGTTTCAACCTACTGGTTTACGTGTTGTGATTTCGGTTTATAATCTATAGATAACTATTCAGTCGGAAGTGGGCTAGCGACATAAGTTGAGGTTTAGTGGTGTAAGTCGTCAGTACACAGAGTCGACAACTGGCGGGGTCAGTACATGAGTACAACTGCTGGGTCACAGCATCACAAGACGGCAATCTAATGTGCATCCGGTCATGTGGTAGGTTACAAAAGCGTTGAAATTTCAGTGTGAAAGTTCAAATTAGAAATCCAAAGTAAAATATAACTGGATTAGCGTGGAGTATACGCATTGTTGGGGGACTCGTTTTTACTTTTCGGGCACCATACTTGGCTACTGGATTCACATTCCACAGACCAGTGAATTTCACGTATAATCACTGTCGCGTTCTTGCGAAACAAGCAGTTTAGGATAGTTAAAAATGACTATTTATACTGTGTAGCATACCGCGGCAGAAGTATTGCCAGCCATTTGCCTGAATTAGCGCAACCTTGCTTTTTGTTGTTTAACAATTTAGTAAAACTGGTGAATCTCGTTTTATTCACGTTTATCTTTTATAAACTGCGTAAGTAAAACATTTTATCAAAGCTTTCTACGGAAAAACGCCCTCTCCATTCATGACAACTGGTCTTCTAGTTGTTCCTCCTCGCGAATTCCTATTCAGTCGGGTGAATTGGCTAAGTACAATCTAGTTGCAGCAACTTTCCTTATCGACAGAAGGTGTCATTCAGATGCGAGTTCCGGCTCTGCCTGCCTGTGTCGATTCACATGAATGATTATGATGTCGCCGTTTTCATCTCCCAGTTGAACCTAAGCTATTCAGTAAATAATTTGCAAATTAGCCGTCCGGATTACAGATCTAAGCGTTTAGCCAAATTGCCGTGCAGTAGCGTTAATGGCTGTCCCATTGCTCTCTTTCATCCACTGTTTCACGCAGAATGGCACTTTTGTTTTACGATAGTGCGGTCTTCTTCCACTAAACATTGTGGCGTAAGCGGCAAATGGCTCTACATATAGATATGCATGTACAGCAAACTACCGGTACATGCTTGAACAGGGATATCTGTTTTCATCTAACATTGTGCACTCGAATAATGTTTCGAGCGACTGACCTGGCTGAATTGGGGTGTGTTAGAAATATTCTAAAACCACCTACGTATATAATTTTTGTGCCTTCTTAATTTTTTCGCACTTCGTATCTTCATTTACTTTATAGTGTTTGGAAGTCTGTCAATGGCAACGTATCCAAACAACACGGTGTAGCGAATCTTGTCAAGTAAGTTCCGAAGACAATAATATATTTTGCTTTGGGGGTATGTGTTTACGGCCGAGTTGTTACTGCATTCGATGCTGAGCAGTTTCTCTTCTACTTGTGGAATTGTATTTTGCAGAAAAGTTATGATAATTTTTCGCTATATATTTCATTTCGTCCCGGAGAAACGTGTAGTTGCTAATAGCCAGTACCCTGAATCTAATAGAATCATCTGAAAAGACAATTTTATCTTGTCCAAATGTATCATTTTCGACCCCATTTTTTACCATGTAGTTGGGTTAGGAAAAACATTCCGCTGGTCGGTGTTCCTAATCAATGATGCTAGCCGAGTTCGGTTAAAGTGTCTTTACGCCCATCAAATTCATAACATGATATGACCAACTGGATAGAATAAGTGTACTGTTCTTTGGAAAATAGTAAGTCATGGAGAACGTTGGTAAACGCAGTATTACCTGGTCAGTATTAAAATAAGGCTTTCATTAATCGAATGATTCTGGACAATGGACCAAATCTGTCCTTCAACGAACAGCAATACCAATTGATTTTTGACGGATAAGCATTACTCAAAATATGACGCAGTTCTACTCACATTTGTTCACTTGGTCGGCGTTCGAGCTCTGTTCATGGCCAGCCAAAATATTGTGTAGCATTATTGTTCTAGCATCGATGGCGATCGATCGGTTTGCAGTATGTCGGTCCATTCAATATCTTGGAACATATTTGGAACCGATCGGGAAGTCATGATTTCAGAAAACTTGGTAGACGACCGGTCTATCATCATAAATACATTAACCGGTCGTCTGCCAAATTTTCTGAAATTATGTCGGCCCATGTTCTGTCCTTCGCCAGTTCGTGCTCGGTGCGGAATCTAAACACCACCGCAATATTCGCAACCGTTTTTGCGTATTCACTGGACCAAGGCTACATCCGACAGTTAATATGTTCGCGATAACTCGATAATGATCGACAAGGGATTATCGCCCACATGCACTCATTGTTGCGCCATGTATGAGGGCAGAGTAAAATGTGCCCGAGTACGCCTTAAGCCAATTGAGTGTAGATTACCTAACATGAAAATGGGAACTGTAAACCAATATGAACCTTGTTCAGTTATTTCAACTGACTATATCACCACCCAAGCACAGCTAAAAATTCGTAAGGGTCGCCATACTTTGGACGTAAGTTTGGAACTCAATGGATATCACTGATCGGTGATATTCTATGACCAAAAGTGTGGTTTAAAGAAGAAGCAGTGTGTTGATCGTGTGTGTGATGCGTTTGGTGATGATGCGTATACAAGAACCACTGTGTTTCGGTGATTTTCGGAAATCAACTTTGGCAGGCTTTTGATGGATCATGAGGCGCGGCGTCGTCGACCTCTAGAGGAGACCACCGCGACCAAGAATAGTGTTGTGCAGGCGTTGTGAGAGAGGACGCGCGGATGCATTTATTATGGCTGGTGAAAGCCAAGTGGATCTCATCGAGATCAATCTGCATCATCCTACATGCGAACCTCACCCTCGGATATGTTTGCGCATGCTGGGTACCCAATCAACTCAGAAGACAACAAAGCATCTCAGGACAATTGGTTTCGCTCCATATTTGAAAGTTTTGATGGTAGAAGTTGAATGCTGTTTAGGAGAACCTCAGTGATGATAAGCCCTGGGTGGACGGTTTCGACTTAGATATCAATCAAAAATAGGTTTAATTGACGGCCGCTTGTGTGGTGCCGCCTCAGAAATTCCGCCGAAAACCTTGTGCGACCAATCGGATGGTGACTGTGTTGGTGGCCAAAACCGCTCATGTGGCTACTGTACCGCTCATACGATAACGGACATTCACCGGAAACTGGTATGCCGCCCAGTCACCCACCCACACTCCGGACTTGGTTCCATGTGACATTTTGTGTTCCCAAACGAAAAGTACAGGATGAGTGGAATCCGATGTGAAGCTGAAGTAGAGGCTTGTATAGAGCTGATTGAAGTTTTACCCGCGTCGGCACATTCTAGAGGCTTCTCCATATTGGTTCGAAAGCATGGAACAGCATGAACGCTGCTTTAGGGTAACTCGAGAAAATCGTATGCATATTTTGTGGTTAAAACACATTTGTATCGGGGAATCTACTGCTCCACCTGCAACTATATACACTAAACGGAGGTATGCATGGCAGCGGTAGAATATAGGAGATTAGTTGATTAGAATCAATTCATTTTAATTAGTTTTCTACTGCTCTTACGCTACGCTGATCTCTTACCATTTACCACCTTTCCACAAGATGTTTTGGCATATACTAGTTTTGTGAGGGCCAAGGCATTAAAAACGTAGACATCACCATGACGTAGATTGAAATAACCAAGCGTCTGTCTAGATAACACGTACAACACAGCTGACACCACAGAGAAAAATGGTGTATCAGGACATCGCGTTCCATAAACTAGCAGGAGGGGAAAATTAGTTATATGCATTGCACTGTGCAGTAATGTTTCGCTTTTGCACAGGACGTGCAAATTTGCTGACAGAATTGCTACTAATGTCAATGGACTCAGCGCCAGTTTACCGTGACCTTGTATTATTATCGCCCGAAAATTTGTCAACTTTAAACTGATCGGAAACAGATTTTATCGGGGATCATCGATATAGGCCGACATAACTCCCACGTCCCTACCAGTAGTAGCTGGGACGGGTTAATCTACTCAGAAAGTTGCTCACGGTTTTCCCAACAACTCCTAACAATAAACATGAAATAACCAAATATACTGCAGACGTAATGGCTCATGTTAAGCTACACTCCATATTATTTGACGAAGTCCTCTTCCATTCAACCATTTCTCTTTATGAATTTCCTAATCGGATTTCTAAGCATTTAACCCATGTCGTATTGTGTTCAGCGGCAATTGATTTTCCTAACTATCCGCCTATGAATTTCAAACAAAAGAAACGGGCTTAAAATGTTATGACACTCGAAAGCCATAAAGAGAATGGAGAGGTAAAAAATTTGGAAAATTTCAATGATACATTGAAACTAATCCAAATCGAAACTGCTTTCCTCACTAATAATTATCTTAGGGGTTGCACAGCACAAAAGTGTGATTTTTCTGGCTTATGTAAGAGTTTGCTGATATCGTTCTGGGTGCGAAGCCCTTTGCAAAAGTTGAGGAATTGGTTGCTCTATGAATGCGTACTGTAACATCGATGCAAATTAAAGTTTTTTTCTGTAAACCGACGGACAATTTTGCAATGAATTGCGTCAGCTGCAACTACTCGTGATGTGAACGTACTGTATACGTTTCCGCTTGTCAGCCGCTGAAACCAAAAATAACGTGATGTGCAATTTACACCTCTTTAATAGACTGATAATAACACCATTAAGAGAACCACTAAATCCGAAGGGGATTAAAGCTACTTCCGTCCAGGCGTGCACGATTGCGAATACGTAGGAATATTCTAGTGAATACACCCTCCTTAGCTTTGACAATATTAAGTAAATCCAAAAGACAGACATAGCTCCCTTCACCCGATTAGATTACTCGAAATAAGTAGATATTTATTCCACTTTGACTGTCAATTAAACCTAAATTCCAAATTCAACCCCAGTAGCTGTAGAACTACTAGGATAATGTCCCTTTACTAAATATCAATGTCCAGCCACCACTGCTGTCTGTGGTTTAAATCAAAGCAGATTAGGCTTAAAGAATTTACACCTCTAGGTCCTACCTAATCTATTAGAGAAAATGATATGACGAGTTCTTGTTGTTTCAACTCTTAGTCGGAACTAATGTTCCTTCTTCAAAGATAGTAATCTGCGCTAGGGGAGTGCGCAATCGAGTTCGGACGTTGTGAGCTAAGGTGACCTAACCGCTAGAAGTACACAAGAGCTGAGACTGGAGACGAAAAGCCCGTATCACAACATGACTTCACTGAGACTCAATCGAGGACAAATGACCAGCTGTTAGCAAGCACATCATTGATTCAGCCAAGGCGATACATGGTTTTAACACCTTCATTTTTATAGTGATATAATACCAGTGCAATGCAATAACCACAGAGAAAGGTAAGTGTTGGCAAGGGAGGTAGTTGTCTCTCACTGAAGGTGTTCTGAGAGAAACTCAGTGTCATTGTGAATTTGCGCGGTATTTGCGGCAGCAACTGATGAAATCAGGTGGTTCATGCTGTTTGATACGGTAGGTACGTTAGCGTCCTGATAAGAAAGTGGGTTCAGTATAGTTTGCACCGTAGACGTACCAGCGTCCACAGTTGATTCACTATGGTTTGGCATCAGTGCATTAAAGACGGCTAGGTTGTTACTTGCTCAGTGTGAGTCGTCGTATGGTAACTGTACTGTTGATGTTAGCCTGGCGAAATCTGCCCAAGCTTCGCGGCGCTATGCGAGCTGCACTACGGAAAGCGTACACCTCAGATTTGAATGGAGCCTAGGTACCATAACCAGTGACTTGATTCCCCATGAGCAAACTATCTGATACTGATACTTAGTACAGATTTACTCAACTTGATCCTGTTAGTGCGGAAGACTACGGACAGAGCTCTCATGTGGAGGAAGAACAGAAAGGTTTGGAGGACTAACTACGTAGGGCCCGTAGCGAATATTGCGTTTGGATTGTAACGAAGTTTGTGATTCGAGAAACTCAGTGATACCTTTTCCACACCGTAACGGAGATCAATTTCTCCATAGATACTCAGCTGCATAGGCTAAGCATTATCCGTTTTCTGCAAGCAGCGTATATTCTTGGCAAATCTGCACAATTATGGAGTTTTTTCATCCACAATGAAATAGCCTCCAGAGCTCTTTCAATATTTGTTTATTTCTGGCAGTCGTGTTCATTACTGGGCAGTGACTAATCAAGTTGCAAATACTGATTAGCCTTGAATTAAGCGAGAACGATCCACGGAACTGTGAATAAACCATTGCATATTCCATAGCAATCCGTACTGAGTTGATGATTGGTTCTCCGAGCTGAGCAACCTCGTTGCAAACGTTTTACCAC